ATCCTAAAGAAGATTTGTCCTTGTGAACTGTGATTAAATTATCCTTTGTGAGGAAGGATCTAACTCCGACGCGCAACTTTAAGCACTTCACTAACAAAGCAGTAATGGAAGTTGTGGATTTTAAATTTATTTAATTCCACTAAACACTTAATATTTTAATTAAGAAATTTTTCAATGCTCATATGTAATCTTCTTGCATATAGAGATATTAAATCAATTAAGGACATGCATAATTATAGGCAATAATGAAATAGGAAATTAAAATCCATCTAGCTTGGCCAATAAATAATTTTGAATTCATCTTGGAAATAAGCAATTCTTGTCCTTGTAGAACTGCATATATCCTTTCAGACTTAAAATTTTTTTCTCCTTGACTCCCACTTCCTTCTTGAACAAGCAACTTGAGTTGGATTTCCGTACTCGCCGGAGAATTTGTCGTTGAGAAAAATTTCGCGCCATCGAGTTGTCGCCCAATGACACGGCGTTCACCGGAACGACCCACAACACCTTGCGATGCTCAGCCAGGTGACGGAGGTGTGCGCGCGCAAAGCGTGCACTAATGTGTCTGTCTCCCAGTGAGCCATCATGGTGTGCGGTGTTCGCGTTTGCGTGAAGGAGGGCAATGCACAACGCAGGCGTATTGCTGCAACTCTCGAAGTGCTCCCAGTGCACGGTCACCAGGACTTAGCGACAGGTGTGTGCTCGACCTGCTGCTACCAGGTCACCTGCTCGTCGCGCCCGGTTGTGCCTGACACCATGCGTTCGACCCTCCTTGTCTAAGTCATTGTCGCCCGCGCCATCGACATGCACGTCGCGCACACCACGACTACATTCTCACCTGGCAGCAAGTTGCCGACGAGTGTGCTTGCATGTGCACGACACCACGTATGTTGCTGACTATGGGTTCACAATTGGCTCGCCTCGTCTCGTCGGGAGATGTCAGTCGTCGTTTTGATCGTTTGGGTTTGTCCACGTCCATCGGGTCAAATTGAATAATATAAAAAAAATTACATAATTCAACCTATAACCTACGTAGGGGTCGTACATGAATGATCTACACGAATTAACTTATTACAAGCATTCATCAACCCAAATATTTTTCGACATATCTGAGGCTTATAAAATATACATGAATTAATAACATACATTCGGGCCACAATAGTCAAATCTAGAAACACCTGCAAACAATTCATTTGCATTTCTAATCTACTATATGTTGTGCTCGTACACAATAATTCACGTATGCACATAGTCCTAATTTGAATAGTGCACAAAGACGAATTAAGTTTTGGCTCTGATACCATTTGTTGTATTCTATTAAGAACGTCATCGATATATGTATCCGAATCTAACAAATTAAATTTAATGCAATGGAATCCATAGTTAGGATTAGGACATACATTTTAGAATTTTTTGCCCACTTTGAGACGTTTTCTATTTCTGTTGTTGGAGATCGTCTGAATCTCAAAGTCCGTTGGGCAGCCGGACTATCTTTGGTATTGGCGAACCGGATCTTTGGATTACCGGGTCGCGTGAGGTCCGGATGCATGTGTGTCGCGTGAGCGTACGCTAGGTATGTCCGCGTGCGGGTCTACCCAGATCGCACGGTTCTCTGCGCTGGGATGCTGCTGGTCGCTGGGAGCGAATTCATGCGCTCGAGCGCTGAGGACAGTTATCGAGCGTCGGGTGCTGGCGTGCATGGGTCGCATGTTGAGTGCTGGGAGCAGGCATCGCGCGTCGGGCACTGTTGAGAATCTCGAGGGTCTGCCGAGGAGCTCGTGGGTCTGCACGGATTTCGTCAGGGTTCTCGCACCGGGTGTTGGCGTGCAGGCGTTGGTGGGTGTTGGTCATTGCATCTAGGAGCAGGGATGTCGCCGAGAACTACTGCGGGTGGCCAAGGGCTGCTCTTTGTTGTTCTCACTGATGAAATAAATTCGCCGAGAAGCGAAAAACTAGACCTTATGATATTATGATATATCACCTCTACACCTACTTCGAGTAGTCTTCGTGATGCTAAATGAAACTACCAAAACCTCCTAATATATAAAACTCGATTTTTTCTCTCTTATGCAACACCAACAATCGGATGGCATTAGTATGTAGGAGGTGTGGGACTTGGTGTATCAATAAGATACAACAGGGACCGTAAGAAGGTGTTACATATAGGCTTTTCCGAATATGAATAGAAGATCTTGTCTTTCAATTCGTTAACATCTAGAAGACCTTATGTCTTTCAACTAGTTAACATTCTAGAAGACTTTATGTCTTTCAACTTGTTAACATTCTACAAGATCTTATGTCTACACCTATTCCTTATTTGAATAAATAATAAAACATTCCACTAGAATAATATTATAACACTTTCCATTTAGCTTCGAATTACTAATAATTCGTTCTCGTTAATTTTACTGATTGAATTATCTCTTTATGTTTAAGATATAGCGTCAATTGCTTCATTAAATTACTGACAACATAGTTAATCAATTTCAATCCGAAACTAGTACCACTCAGCTCTTAATTATAATGTCAAAAATTAATTCGCCTTCAGGGCTTAATAATAAATCTTCATGAGCTCATTTTGGAGACGTCATCAACCCGACGAACCGGGCCATTGTGACCATAACCAATTTTAACGGCACATCATGTAAACAACTCTACTTACCAAAATATCGAGTATGTTAACCTAATAGAATAGGTATCACCCTTGGTAAATTAAATAAATAAGTGAGTACATATGCCCGTTTATTGTCTTACGGGTTAAAAGAACGCATCAATTTCTGATGTCTAGATCATTTACTTGGTCAGTATAAAATAATCTTATTCCTCTTATGTCCATTAAATAAACCCATGACCTGTGTAATTCATCAGCCAGAGATCTACTGAATCAAAACACTACAGCCTTCCATAACAGATAGTTCATTTTCGTCTAGGCTGTAAATCATTTTATTTTTTTATATTCTATAAGGAACTGATAATATGATCTTTCGATTCGACACATCGAGTCATATTATCTACAATATAAAATAAAGGAACCAATGCTCGAATAAACTGCAAGCACAAATACTTGACTAAAACATAATTCTCATTCAAAATAACCCAACCGAACCACCGGTGATACACGGAAAAGTTCTCCGTCTGCCGCCAATGATGGAGGGATCGGTACTGGAGGAAGACATCATTTTTGGCAGTGGTTAGTCTTGTGTTGCTTGGTATATTTGGAATTGTTGTCGTCTGCTTGGCGAAACGGAATAAAAGAGAAGCAGGATAGAGTGGGGGCCACATTTTTCCAACTTTAGTTCCTCTCTCCTCCATCATGTGAGAGTTCATTATCCACTTTATTTTTTAAAAAAAATGATGAAGTAGTGTGATGTGATGTTGATTTGAGGATTTTGTATTTTTTTAATTGTTAAGGAGTTAAGTGAATGAATGAGATAAGAGTAGAAAATGCAAAGAAAAAAAAATGTGCTGACAAGGTATATATAGAAATAGGGATTGGAGATTTAAGTGCAAAAAGACGTTATTTTTTATTTTTCTTAGAAAATATGGAACTTAGAAAATTAGGGTCATTACTGAAGAAAAGCTGCAATTTCTCGTGGCTCAATGGATTTGGAACCAGGGAACGTGCTTCTCAAGAGACTTTTTTTTTTCAGGAACAATAGAGAATATTATAGATCAAAACGCACAAATGTGCAAAAGGTACAACCCCTAGCTGAATAATACAACCAACAGTTGAAAAACTGGGAGGACAGGTCAGAAGACCGCCTAGATCCGATACTAGCAACGTTAAAAACCAAAAGACACTACAAACACTAAAAAAAAAAA